GATTGTGATACTGACCACTACCTGGTCGTGGCAAAGGTTAGGGAAAGACTGGCAGTGAGCAAACAAACAACACACAGAGTTCATATGGAGAGGTTCAATCTCAAGAAATTAAATGAGGTAGAGGGTAAAGAACAGTATCGTGTTGAAATCTCAAATAGGTTCATGGCTTTGGAAAACTTAGAAACTGAGGTGGATGTTAATAAAGCTTGGGAAACTATTAGAGATAATATAAAAATGTCTGCCAAAGAGAGTCTAGGTTATTATGAACTGAAGAAGCATAAGCCATGGTTCAATGAAGGATGCTCAAAATCATTAGATCAAAGAAAGCAGGCCAAATTGCAATGGTTACAGGATCCAAGCGAGTTAAATGGGGATAATCTGAACAATATAAGACGTGAAACCAGCAGGCATTTCAGGAACAAAAATAAGGAATATCCGAAAGACAAAATTAATGAGCTTGCAGTGAACAGTAAGAACAAGAACATAGAGACCTCTATAGAGGAATAAATGACTTTAAAAGGGGTTACCAGCCTAGCAGTAACTTAGTGAAGGGTGAGAATGGTGATCTGCTTGCAGATTCCCACAACATTTTGAATAGGTGGAGGAACTACTTCTCTCAGTTATTGAATGTACATACAGCTGAGCAGTTAATACCTGATCCTAGCCCCTTTGAGGTTGAAAGTGCTATTGCAAAATTGAAACGGTATAAATCGCCAGGTAGTGATCAAATTCCGGCAGAACTTATTCAAGCAGGAGGCAAAATATTACGTTCTAATATCCACAATCTAATTACTTCTATTTGGCATAAGGAAAAATTGCCTGATCAGTGGAAGGAGTCTATTATTGTACCAGTTCACAAGAAGGGTAATAAAACTGACTGTAGTAATTATCGGGGGGATATCACTGCTATCAACTTCATATAAAATTTTGTCCAATATTCTTCTTTCAAGGTTAAGACCATATATGGATGAAATTATTGGCGATCATTAGTGTGGGTTTTGACATAACAGATCAACTACAGATCAGATCTTTTGCATTCGTCAGATATTGGAGAAAAAATGGGAGTACGATGAGACAGTACATCAGTTATTCATAGACTTCAAAAAAGCCTATGATTCAGTTAGGAGGGAAGTATTGTACAATATTCTAACAGAGTTTGGGATACCCATGAAACTAGTTAGGTTGATTAAAATGTGTCTAAACAAAACGTATAGTAAATTCTGTGTAGGCAAACGTTTGTCTGATAAATTTCCTATCCAGAATGGTCTAAAACAAGGAGATGCTTTATCGCCACTCCTTTTCAACTTTATCTTAGAATATGCAATTAGGAAAGTCCAGGGAAACCACGTGGGACTGAAATTAAATGGGACACATCAACTGTTGGTCTAAGCTGTTGATGTGAATCTACTGCGTGATAATGTAGATACCATAAAGAAAAACACACAAACTTTAATTGACGCATAGGGTTAACAGCATATATAAGCAAACATTAAAAATAATAGCATATGATTACATTTTTGGCTAGCCTATGAAATAGCAGAAACATGTGTTCTGATAAGTTTCAACACTACAAAACCTTTTTGTGAGCTAAACTAGTTATTAACTTTAGTGCAAGGAAATTTATTGCTTGAAGTTTTCCTTTCTCAGTCTAGTTTTTTCCAAGTACTGGGATTGTGTGTTCAGATCCCACCTATGTTGCAGATGTATGTTCGCATTGTTCTGTTTGTGTTGTCCTGTGTAGGTAGAAGTCTTGTGATGGGCTGATTCCCCAGGGAGCCCTACGAGTAAATAAATGAAATGTAAATAGAGTTAATCACAAGTAAAGCTGAAGATTTAACAGCTCTTCCTGTCCTGTACGTACTTTCCACTACTACAATTACTTGGGGATATATCCCTTGTTCATTTGTTGCATTCACAGTGCTCCCCAGATGGAATGGGATATCCAAGCTTATCTTTCAGCAAGAAAAGACTGATTCACCAAAACAACAAGTATTAGTAACAATTAAACCCAAATTCATGACATACAATAACAACAATAAAAAGAAATGACTCAGTCCATTACTTCAGTACTTAAAATCATGCCTTTGCAACAAATCCATGCCCTTGACCACCTTGGACAATCCATACTGAAGAAATAAAGTGACCAAAACTAACATAACACTGCGAGTCAACCCAGATCACAGTGTTGCCCCGTTTATGGTCATACAGCAACACTAAATGGGGCAATAGCCAGCCCAAACAAATAATAGAGAGAAGAAAATAAACTCCATGGCTTTAATCCACAAGGGAACTATACCGACCAAGCAACTGCTGCTTGTCGGCAAAGTAGTGCCAACTCTAGGAGACAGAGGGTGTCGCATGGTCAGCGCAACGAATTCCCACAGAGCCGCTATTTCCTTGAAATAGCTCATCAGTTATCCTCACGAGGCTGAGTGGACCCCATTCCAGACCCACTCCTCAGAAAATCTGGTAGCGCCGGGAATCGAATCCGAGACCTCTGTGTCTGTAGTCTGGAACTCTGACTACTAGACCACAGAGATGGTCAATAATAATATAATACAAGACAAAAACTCATTACAACATCCCTAATTGGAAAATAAACTTACATCAGTTGCAATGAGGAGGCCCGTTGCCCTCAATGGCTGGAGTGAAGAGTCCAAATACAACTTGGAATTCTGAGTCAAAACAGAATTTAGCAACCTAATTTGCCTGACTGCTTGCCAGCAAAGACTGCCCTCTTATTTCACCTCACACTGATGGAGGTCTTCCTTTCTAAACAAGGGAGGAAGGGGAAATCACATGGTACATGGAATGATGGGATAATGGTAAATGAGTGACAGCATGGATGCCTCTGGAGGGGAGGCATAGATGAAGGAGGGGTGGATACCAGGCCAGAAAAGGTTACCACTGACCACCTGAGTAGAAAACGTGGCACAAGATAATAAACGTTAAAAATGATATTGTATTTATATAAGCAAACCAAAAATAATGAAATTGATGCTAACCCTATAGATTTTAGTATAATGTTTATTATTCTTTGTTTGATCAATTTAATTGATTTGTGCTTTGTTGAAATAATAATGAAATCACTACCCCAATGGATCCAAGTATAAACAAATTTATGTGATCCATATTATGTTTTGTCCAGTATGTAGGGTGCTATATTTCCTTTCTTTCTTTCTTTCTTTTTTTGTTTGTATTTTCTTTCCTAAAATGGATTCCTACCTTCAGAAGTTAATTCTGAACTGGAACAGGCCAGGGGCTTAATTTGTAAAGCTGAAGATGATGAAGAAGCATTCCTTATATAACTCTGTTCAGTCCAACTTGATTTGTACAGTAATATTAAGGTGGCTGTTAGTGAAAGAGGTTGTATGAATGGAAATATTGCAAGACCGTATCCAGTGGCAAAGTTTGGTATTAATTGTGTTGGACCGTTAGACTTTGCTACCAGAAAATCAGTTAGTCTTAGATTTTGCTTCAGTATGAAGTTCCAGTGGTGCTCATGTGTCATGTAACATATCTGGTTGCCCCAGCAGGAACAAGACTTATAATATACAATTCTTTATTGGAATCCATCGTAACACAACATAACGGTCAAGGTCAACATTAACTTAGCTACATGTTTTGGCTTTTAAAGCCATCATCGGGCAATATACGCTGGGGTACCCAAAAGAAACCGAACTAATTTTTTTGTGAGCAGAACTTTTGTAGTACTGCGTTTTGCCGCTATGAGTGCATAGAGCTAACATTCCTGAGTCGATAAGCCGACTACCGTTGCTTCAGAAGGTAAGGACTAGTTTCGGCAGAGTTTATAGTGACAACTGTTTTGTGTGATCGTCGTTTTTGCAATGGCCCGAACACATGGAAATGTTGAAAAAATTCGTGAAATCATCAAGGAAGATCAACGACGGACCATTGAAGAAACTGTGGAGCTGTCGGGAGTGACTTGGAGCTCAGTTCAGCGAATTTTGACAGAAGATTTGGGAATGAAAAGGGTGGCTGCGAAATTCGTGCCACGACTGCTGACTGCTGAACAAAAACAAGGTCACGTGGAAGCATGCTGTGCTTTGAAAGAAGAGTCCCGAAATGATCAAAACTTTTTTCCAGCGTTTTGCTGATGTTGCTGAGGTGAAGGAAAAAAACGACGGAGGCGCTGTCAAGCATCTCAAAAGATGAATTTAGACAATGTTTTGAAAAATGGAATAAAAGACTAGACAAGTGTATTAGTGTAAGTGGAGAGTACTTTGAAAGGGATTGAAGGTTTGTGCTTAAAATTTGAATAAATAAGTTTAAAAAAAATAAGTCCGGTTTCTTTTGGGTACCCCCTCATACATGGTTACCATATTCACACACTGTTGAACTGCATTTCAGTGTGACAGTAGAGCTGGATATTATTTGACATTAATTGTTTTGTTGGTGTCTCATTTTACAATGTATTTTTTTGTCCGCTCTGGTGGGAATACAGATTGCAACTGAGGAACGGAACAAACAATACCAAATAATAGTACACCTACACCATGGGCCTCCAAGCAGGTTACGTATACAAGTCTTGAATATACCGCTATATGTCCACTGGAATGTAATACAAGATTTCAACAACTGACTTCATCATATGAAATATCACATGAAGAATTTTTAACCATATTTTATTACATAACTTTCGTTTTATAATAATCTTATAATTCATTGTATTTTTATACCTTGTATTGTAAATATAACAGTTATCAAGTATCCAGTTCTGCTGTCACACTGAAATGCAGTTCAATAGTGTGTGAATATAGTAATCAAGTGTTTTGCCTGATGAGGGCTTTAAAAGCCGAAACATGTAGCTAAGGTAATGTTGACCTTAACCGTTATGTTGTTGTGTTACGACAGATTCCAATAAAGAATTGTTTATAATAAACACAACAGGATGCACAATATGAAAAAATAAAGAGAAACTTATAATACTGAAATTTGCCACCGGTGGGGTTCTTCCGGGGCTTGCTTCCTGTCCACAGATTATGCTGCTGCAATGAATGCAGACCCAAATGGCGCTGTGTCATGTGACTGGCCAACATCTGCTGCTGCTGGGTCTCCACTCATCTTGCCTGTTCCCATGCCAACTTTATATAGCAATGGGTTGGAGCCTAGCCGAACAAGACTTGCAGCAGGGAAGCCATCCATAATTGAGCTAGTACTTTACAATATGGCTGCCATGTTAGCTGGTGTTGCAGCTGGCTATGATGTTCGTCTCTCCAATGTTTCACCAGTACACCCAAGGCTGCACCCTGAGAGGTAAATGTGAACCTGCTGTAATGTGTGTTTCTTCTCTTCTGTCATTTCTTATTCAGTAGACATGAACTGTAATGGCAAACTTAAGACCATATTTTTGAATCAATCTTCTGAAGATGGAAGCAGCAAGATCTTATGAAGCATTCACAGCTTCTACCAGACTACACTGCGTCACATCCCATAAGACCATAATATTAATATGCACTGCTGTGAGAACCTCAGATCTCATAATAGCAGACTTAACAATATTGTGACATACCTACTGGATCATTGTCTGTTACTTCGTAATGATTGGGTAAACACATAAGAACGCCTAGCCCATTGCTAGGCAGGGGCCACTACTCCATTTGGAGATGTTATTAGAAACAGTGTTCTGTGTAGAGCTCATGCTGATGTTACTTAAGGAGAGTTCAGACAGAGAATTAATTAATTGAAGCGGAGAATAGACAGGCTTTGAGTTGCAGTCATGAGATGAGTGTCGACAGTTGAGTTAGACAGTTGCCAGCTGGTATGGATGTAAGCAGAGGACATTGTTTGGATCTGTTACCAGGCAACAGCTAGTGAAGAGTGAGGCTTAGCATTTGCTGTAGTGATTTGTAAAGTGTGTAAATCAGTGAAGCTATTGGAGTTACTTGTAGTTATGAGTGTCCAGTAAATCCAATTACATACCGCTCCAAACCCCATGCTTAGTCACGAACACATGACAATATTTTATTGGTGGTATAAATGCTTAGTTTCCTGTGTTTATCTGAGAAACCAGCTTAACTGAGTCATGTTTGTATAACCATTGTGTCTGGTGTATAACAAATCCCACTACCTAAACCCAGAAGACCAAGTCACAGCAGTGTAACCATTTATGTGGAGGAAATTCCACTAAACTGCAGAATACTGACACAGAGTTAACCATTTCATCTTGTGTAAAGGAAATTTCACTACCAAAATTACTTTAAACTAGATTTAAATATTGTTTTTAAATTATTCAACTTGTTCTTTGATGTGTTGACAGTTAAGAATGACAAGTGCAGATATGGTGTCTTGAAATCCTTAAATATTCTGGAATGAAATGTTCAGGTACATGTACATGTTCAGGTGATGATGGTTTGTTCAGGTCAGAAGAAGAACAGGAGGAGAGGCGGTGGTGGTTTGGTGGAAGCTCAAATCGCAGTTCAGGGCTTGGAGCTCTGTACCTGGGTATGGACTATGAATTTTCAAGTTCATCAGGCTACCCTCACAATACGTACCATGGCCCTGCCAGGCACCTGAGGCCCTTGCTGAACAATCTTGGGCCAGATCCTGAAGGTGGCACCAAGCCGCTGCGATTCACAGACTCTCCTCAGCATTATGCAATGGCACAGGGAGGAACGCCCACTCTTTCCCCCCGGCGCAAGTCATCCAGTACCAGCAATGAGGGCAGTGAGGTGGGCAGAAACCGTTAGCTTATACTGAAGGACTGTTTGCTTGATGTGTGTATAAATAATGGATTCATGATAATCCTCAGAGTTGGCTGTATTAGAACTGAGTCTAAAATATCCTTGAGGGCTCTTCATCATCAAATAGTGACTTAGATCATTACCTTATCTTTATAAAGCTACTAGATTTTATTATCAACATATGCTGGGAAACAAAATTGCCATACTAAAGATCTTGTTGGACACTTGGGGGTCTTCTTCAACAAGGTTACTTGCTCAAGGTATGACACACCCCCAAAATCAGCAGATTGTTCCTTATTATACTGACAAATATATTTTGTTTTTATTTCCTCAGATTAATGTTAACTGATGGGGATGGACCCAGAATCCTTTGTACACTAAACTCAAAATTAAAAGCAGTGAAAATATCTGTCAGTATAATTACATTCAGCCTCATGAAGGTGGAAGCAGAGTCAACTCCAGAAACATCTTGTACATCAGTTATATGTCACAGTATGGACACTGTCCAACACAGTTTTACTGTAATTTATCCGCTGTGATAGACATTTAGAGAATCATGCAAGATGGATCCTTAGCATTACATTTTTTACCTACTTCATTGTCAAGCCAAAATAAACATAATTCTTTTAATGAAATGGGATGTTAAATTCCATACAAGTTGCATGCTTTTTAAAAGAGTCAGTTTCAGGACTGTACCTTGAATGTCACTGTAAACAGCTGTTGATGTAGGGGATTAGAACTAACATGATGTTTATATCAGGCTCTTTATGAAAGCTGGACACACATCCAGTATCCCCTCCCTCCAGAAGATGGCAACTGAAATGTTTGCTGAAAACACTGGTAAACCTTGAACATACTGCGTGGCATATTATCAAAAGTAAAAGTCATACAGAAACATACTGTGTTGGGTCTCTTGGTCAGTGGTTTTCAACCTTCTTGTGCTTGCAGGACACTTGCTTGGTATATTCATTTTCTTTTTTGTGTCCCACTAAAATTAGAATAGAAAACTAGAAGTTGTAGTAAAATCACACTTATTTTTTAAATAATGTAATTTATTGTATAAATATATAGAATTATCATAAAACAGAAAGATAATGTTTTGTTACAAATATCAATTTAAAAAGTTTATGAAAGTGCATATGCTTTGCTTTGCTCATATGCACTATGGAAGTGCATATTTTATTTTATAATCATTCTTCTTTTCAAAGCCTCACAGCACATCACTGGAGAACCACTGATACAGGTAGAACTCATGATGGAGATAGAGTCGGCTTCCAGAAACATAGTTGTTTTAAAAACTAGGATCGTGGACAGCTTTGGGTTTGAGAATTTCATTCTGAAGAAAATGCATGATTCCTAATAAAATGCACTGGTGGTAAGAGTATAGTTACACAGAGGATGTAGGAAAATTTGGAAGCCAGACAGAGGTAGTTTTTCTTCCAGTTTCACTGAACTGATTATGCAACTTAATTTATGTCTTCACAGGCAACTTATCCACCACCCCCACCTGCACCATCTGGAGGGGGTCTCCTGGACCACCGAGGTCCTGGTCTGTATATCTCGGCAGCGGACTATGCAGAAGGTGGCAGTGCCAGTGTTGTTCATTATGCCAGCGGCAATCACTATTCGGCACGTCCCGAATTGTACAGGACTGATTCATATTTCACAGGTAGTATGTACAGTGCTGTGGGAAACAATGCCGTACTGCACTATGCTGATCGACTGTACCCTGAGTTTGAAGGCTACCAGCTACACCACCACCCCCACACAGGTGCTTATGATAATCCGAGTGTAAGCAGTGTGAGCAGTTCTACCAACAGTATAACCCCTCGGACACCTTCACGTCTATGTTCCAGTGGTAGTGCTACTAATCATACTCCATATGAACATCGCAGAACACCATCAAATGTATCTAATGCTTCGTCATCAAATAACAGTAGTTCCAATGTGAATCCAAGCTTCAGGCTGGAGGACGAGGGGGAGTACTCACAGTACAGCACACCAACACACCATTATTATGCCTCCCAACAGCGTCGCGGCATGGACTATGAGTACAGTCCTTCACCACCACCTTTCTTTTCTAGACAAAACTCTCATGATTCAAATGCATCCAATGTGGTTGACACAAGACCTGGTACACTGGAAGTTGGTGGAGGAACAAGGCTTCGGTCAAGCTTGAAACGGTACAATTACACTCCTGTAGGGGGTTCAAGGACAGGGGGAGGAGGTGGCTCATCATCATCTGGCGGAGCTGGTACACCCACGAACCCAACTCCCCCGGACAGTTTAACAAGCGAGGACAGTAGCTACGTCTCAGCTAAGGAGGGCTCCTACTCCTCTGTATCCAGAGTCCGGTTCTCACCGGTCACAATGATGGCTGCAGAGACCAGGGAGACTCTGCTTGACATTCCAGTGCATGGACAGAGCCAAGATGTGACAGTGCCATTGCAGGCTGTCCCCAGGAGGATACGCAGACTCAGTGGTGAGATGAATTCAAGTACTGGACGCAACAGAAAACCCTCCGTTACTGAGTTGGAGCGAGAGTTCCTCTCATAGCAGATGCTCAACACCATGTGGCAAGCTGGTGCAGTGCACTCTTGAGGGACACCACATCAACTAAGCTTTAAATCATTATCATGATGAGTGCAATGGGAGGTTGTGGGATAGACTTAGCATGTCACATTTTTCCAGAGTATTAATCACTCACTCACTTTGTACATAGGCACAATGCCCTGCAGTAAGATAATATCTGTAAATAATTTGTACATTCAACACACATGGCTTCCAGGTCACGTCATTCCAACTTCATTCCTCTTTTGTACACTTCAGAACTAACATTGTGATGTTTACCTCATTGAACACTAACTCAACATGTCATGGCACAGAAAAGCAGTCTGATGGGTAGATATTATCTTGTGTATAAAATATATATACATATATATGCCATAACTTTTGAGGATATGAAGTACTTTGTTGCTCAAATTTTTAAGTGCTTTGAAACACAATGACAGAGATTAATAATTTATTGCAGGAGAACAAATACTATTAGCCAAGAGAGTGGCCTTGTTTGGTTCTGTACTTCTCACATGAGTGGCAGGAATGACTGCGCTGACCATCCCATGCTAGTCTCGAGACCGAGCGTGTTCCAAGCAACGTGCGGCCTTGATTTTATTTATAATCTTTCTCTGTTTTGCAATGTTTTCCCTTATTTGCTGTTATATATGGTGTTTAAAATTACATTCCACTTTTTACATGTACATACTTGTATTGTGATAAACACATTCCTGAATATGAGACAGAAGACGAGGTTGTGTGAATGAGTTGTGGATTTTTTTATATTATTTTAAGAGGTCAACATGTTAGGCAGCACTGTCTGCTCTGCCATTCTGTGTATATATATATATATACAAATAATATATTGCAACATGTGTGTGTGTGTGTGTGTGTGTGTACATATACACATATATATTTGTCTAAAACCGAAGAAAGACTTGTACAGTTTTCTCCATTTTAAAAGACCAAGCTGTGTAATACTAGGGTATTGGTGGTGATGATGAATTATGTTCTAATTTTAATATAATTATAAATAAAATAAGCTTTCAGTGGTCCTGAATATACTTTTTTCCCCAGATTTTGCATGTTTGATGAAATAATTTTGACCTCAGGTCTAAAATTCTATTACTGAAGGCAGTATTAGTTCAATAAAAAAGGTGGAAGTCCTGTGCATAATGAAGCACCACAACCATTAACAAATGAGGGAGAATCGAGATATAGTTGCATGTATTGTTAAAGTTTGGCACTAGATGGAAGTGAGCAGCCAGCACCATCATGCATCTGTATCCCAGGGGAAAGAGCCTCCAGTGCTCACAGGTTAGGAGACTTAGTAGGCCCCAAAGCCTGTCTAGATTCTATGGAGAAGAAAGTCTTTGCCTCTGCCAGGAATTGAATCATGATCTCTAAGTTATCTAGCCTATAGCCTGTTCACTATACTGACTTAGATATCCCAGCATTAATCCTGGTGTTAATTCCTTGCTAGGATTTTTTGGTGTTGCATGCAATAACATGTAAATCCCTTAGAAGAGATCACATTTGTCTCTCTGTCCTTTTATCTGAGGTATTTTATTAGGAATGTGGTGTGGCAATGGGAATTCGTATTAAATACAAACCTGAAAATATTACTCCTTATTTTGGCTACCCAGTTATTTTTTGTAATTACCTGTGAAAATAATTTTGTTTTAATATAATTCCTTAAGGAACTAGAGTGCCAGTATATGAATTTTGAATTAATGTTTATGATGCCACGAGGAATTACCTGTTCCATGGCATCTTGAACAACAGTATTGAGGCAAGCAACAGCAGAACCAACAGAGGTGGTACCACACACACAAGACCAGTCATAAGTTGAGAGATTATTATAAAGCAATGCACAATCCCCAGACAAGAATCTACGGTACGAATATGCATAATTTTGAATACAAGTGGCAAGGGGCAGACAAATATTGATAATCATAGGGGGCGATAATCATTAGGCTTTATAAGTCCAGGATTGACAGGGGTAAAACCTAAATCGCTTAAATTAGAAAAAAATTAAATCAAATATATTCCTCCAGTCGACCACATCAATGCTCTGGTTAAGGTTTAGAAGACACGTGGAGGTGTAAGTCGCATCTCCATTTAGTTTAGGGTAATAATGGGAATTGGGCAGAGATAGACCACTTTTCCAGTTGAAACGAGGAACGTTAAAATCCCCAACCATATTTACTCAAAAGTTGGTAGCCAGCTTCTTTTCTAAAAAACGAAACTACTATGTGGTGTCAAAAAGAAGTTCCAGAAATAAGTTAATAAAAACTATT